AATGATACTTTATGACTGTATAACAATACACAGTCTTTGTTGCTAAATTTTAAATTTGCTTCCTTCCAATTTTTTTTTTTTTTGCTTCCTTCCAAATTTTAGAGAAATTAAAACATCTTTATGGGCCCCAAAGTCCCATGGGGCCCGGACACGGTGACTGCTGTCCTCTGGGGCCCCTGATTCACTGCACCTTCGCCACTCTGTCCTCTGCAACCTTCGCTGTGCCCTTTGGGAGCTAGTTCCTCGGGCTGGACCTTCATTCTGTACATGTCAGATTAAATGTCACCTCTCAAGAGTGTCCTTCATGCAACTCTATTTAAAGCAGCCACCCTCTCTCTCCCCAAGTCCACACCTTCTATTCTCTTTCCTGCAGAGTACTTAGTAGGGATTGGAATATCTTGTTTATGTTAAAAATTATTTATTGTCTATCTCCTTCCAGAGAGGCAGGAGCCTCAAGGGCAAAAACTTTGTTGGGTCTTATTAACTGTGAATGCCATTTAGTAGGAGGCCATGAATAAATGAATCTCATCCTCCAGAAGTGATAATGGTTAAATGTCCTGTGTATCCTTTGAGATGTTTTCTGTATGTAGATTATCTATCTGTCTATCTACATCTATCTATTTATCTTCTTTGGGCTTCCTAGGTAGCACAGTGGTAAAAGATTGTGTCTGCCAATTGCTGGAGACCGGGGTCTGATCCCTGAGTTGGGAAGATCCACTCCAATAGGAAATGGCAACCCACTCCAGTATTCTTGCCTGGGAAATTCCATAGACAGAGGAAGCTGGCGGGCCACAGTCCATGGAGAGTTGGCCACGACTGAGCACGCGCACACACACACACACACATACACATCTTCTCTATATTTGTATCTGTCTTTTTGAAAGACACAAATAATTTCATACTACCGGCTTCTCTGGTGACTCAGTGGTAAAGCATCCGCCTGCCAATGCAGGAGAGGTGGGTTCCATCCCTGGATCGGGAAGATTCCCTGTAGAAGGAAATGGCAACCCACTCCAGTATTCTTGCCTGGGAAATCCCATGGACAGAGGAGTCTGGCGGGCTATACAGTCCATGGGGTCGCAAAGAATTGGACATGACTTAGCAACTGAACAACAAACACAACCCCTATCTTTTTGACGTTTTGTTACTGCATTTAGTTTTGAACTTTATCCCTCACTTTCCTGCTTGAGACTCCTCGGCGGGAGTGGAAAGAGAACCTGGTTAGAAGCCGGAGACCTGAGCCCCCAGCTTGCTAAGTAGTCTAAATAAGCCCCCAACTCCTTCTGAGCTTCAGTTTCCGCTCCTAAAAAGGGAGAAACCCGGATTGGACCGGCGATCTCCAAAACCCTGGTCTTCCAGGTCGGGCGCTGGTCTAGCCTGGGGGCGGACTGGGGAGCCGGGGCACTGCCTGTGTCCCGGAAGATGGAGGGTCCCTTAGGGGTGACCCTGATAAAGTCCCCGGCGCAGGTGCAACAGGGTTCTGGAGCCTGGAGCCGGGACTGCGGGAGCTGGGGGCTGGGGCTCTGCTTTGACCCACCGCCGCTCACCTTCCCGATGTTTCTGCTGCTGTATGAGTCCAGAAGGTTTATAAACACCCTCTGGATCCGGATAGCTTTCTCCGCAGGGGCAGCACCTTCCTCTTCTTCAGCCATGGTGGGAGCCTCTCTGGTTGCTAAGGAGAAAGCGTCCCTTTGGTTGCCAAGGAGGTGGGTGTGGCCGCGGCCCTAGGACCGCGGAGCCCAGGCGGCCCTTCGGGGGCGGGGCCTAGGGCGCGGGGCGGGGCGGGGCGTTCCCGGGGCGGGGCGTTTCTAATCCCCGCCTAGGGCGCAGGGCTGGCCCGCCGCGTCCCTGCCCGAGTGCTCGCAGCTGGGGCCCCGCTTTGCTCTGCTTCTCGCCGGTGCCCTCGGGCAGGGCGAGCCCTCCATTCCCTTTCCTCTCTATCATTCGGGAACTCCGGAAACACGCCCCAGTGTCCCCCCGACCCGGAGCACTAAAGATATTGATGGATCTGATGAGAAGGTAAAAAGCCCGTAGCCTAGGCCTTCCCCGAAATGTTGAAGTGAATTAACATGCCGGTTGTAGGATGGTCTGATCCGGAGGGTTTGACTTAATTCTCTACTGCAAAGGAGGGCTGTTGCCATGGAGTTCCAGGGTCAGGACTCAGGATCCACAGCGAGCTCTTGCAGTGCTGGTAGTCCACTGGGCTTTACAGGTTTAGCGGTTCCGGGGCTGCGGGGCGGGGTGGGTAGCTGGAGGCCACTTGTGCTGGGATCCACCCTCTTTTTCACAAATGGATAGAATGTAGACTGCCCTTTCCAAATCAGGCTGGACAAGAAGTTGCCGACGAATTAAAAGATGTTAACGCAGAACCACAAAGGTCATGGTGGACTGTATGTATAGTCTGTTATCTTAGAATAGTAGATTTTTTATGCTTTAAATATTAACTTCTTAAATGTAAATATTTAACACATGAATTTTTTTTAATGTTTCCTTGGTGGCTCAGATGGTAGACTCTGCCTGTAGTGCAGGAGACACGAGTTTGATCCCTGGGTTGGGAAGATCCCCTGAAGAAGGGAATGGCTACCCACTCTTGCCTGGAGAATTCCATGGACAGAGGAGCCTGGCAGGCTACAGTCCATTGGGTCATGAAGAGTCAGACACAACTGAGTGGCTAACACTTTACTTTCACTCAAAAAAAACCACTGATTGCCTCAAAAAATGGAAATGGCCAGGGAGCTGGCCAGCCTGGGGGTTCTGGACACTTGGGAGACTTGGCTCTGACTTCCAGCTCGGCACTTACTTGTGGGAGACTGGAGCCAACCTTTTAACCTTACATGAGCTGTTAAAGTGACTATAAAACAGGGGTAAAACCACCAACCTAACAGGGCTGTCAGGATTAAATAAGATATACGTAAGCATTTTCTGAAATGGTCTCCAAAAGTGACATTGCTTTTTTTTCTGTAATGCTAAAGCACATTTGCACAAATGAGAGCCTTTTCATTCCTTTTTTTGTCCCCACTCCCTTTTCTTTTTATACACTTGTCTCATTGAAACTTGTTTTGATTAAATAACACTTCGAAATTCTGCGAACAATAACAGCTTGCTCACAGCAACATTTTTTAATTATTAAAACGAAAGTGCTGTCAACTTAAATGTAAAAATACTCTTGCAAGACCAGTACAGAACTTGGAATAAATATTGTTCATTTTTTATAAAGACCTGTTAGATGGAATATTCTAAAATTCACTAGATGCCTCATTTCTGGATTTTCAGTTTGTCCCGAATGAAATGCTGTTAGGCAGGTTAATACTTTTATTCAACCGGTCATGCTACTATAAAATATAACTCACTTTTGTCTCATTCTTACTGTTTACATTTTGTAACAGGCAAATGAGCTAGTGCCAGTTACAAGGGAGTGGCTTCCAGAGAATTGTATAGCATATTGGTAGGTTAGGAAAGGAGATTCTATTGATCAATTCTATTATGCCAGTTATCTTTTACTATTATTTCTTTAAAAAAATATTTTTAAAGTATAGTTGATTTACTGTACAGTCTTGTTAGTTTTAGATGTATAGCAGTGGTCCAGTTACATACATAGATTATTACAAGATATTGAGTGTAGTTCCCTGTTCCTTTCCTCTTTCAAAGTCAGCTTTCACACAACCACAAAGTTCAGGGGATGCTTTTATTGACATACTGTATGGGGATGATTGCTGGAGTCAGAAGACTGGTTTCTGACCCTACTCTCCTGCTCACAGGTGAGCTGTTGAGCAAGCGCCACAATCTGTCCAAGTTTCATTTGAACATGTCATACACAAACGAAGGGGTGGAAGGCAGAGTTCTGAAGTTCAAGTGGCACATATCAGAATCTCAGTGTTTTCCTATCCTGTTCCCCTGTAACAATCGAACTGCATATTTTGTGGTTTTTGAACACTGGGGAAGAGAACAGTGCAGCGTTGTGATGGAAGAAGCGAATGAAGGCTCAGAACTCCAGTAATTGCTGCTGAGCTGTGTGGGATGTGTAAAGATTGATTCTGGACCTGGAGGAAAAGTGGGAAGAGTCATCATGGGAAATGAAGTGTGTGTATTCTCTTCACAAACATACTGCCTCTTCAAGGATCCTGGGAGCAGGTACAACTCAGCACAGCTTGTGCTTTTGCTAGAAAGGAGAGTTCTTCAGCTGGTTTGAACACCATTATCTATTGCATTTCCCCTCTCTAATTAGTATACTTAAGATAACATAGAATATATGTAAAAGAAAATGAAAATAACCTATCTTACCACCTAGTGATGACTATATTAACACTGTAGAATATTTTTTATTCCATTTTTCTGTTACATATATGATTATTTTTTTTTAATATATATATGATTATTTTCAAATAGGTTTAAAAGCTTGTTTTTTCCTGTAGTATAACTTTCCCCAATTTTTAATGGCTGCATATTTTTCCATCAAGAGGATCTGGCATAGCTTAACCACTTTTTTAGAGACTTCTCAATTTTTCATTAGTGAAAATGACATCCTTGTTGTATATATTCTGCTGAATCATGTCCCTGTTCTAGCCTGCGAGGCTATTACCAGCATGTAAGTTATAAGCTTTGTAAAGGCTCTATTACCAGTATCTTCCAGAAAGGTTTCACCAACATAGCTTCCATGAGAAGGTTAACTGTGTCCTTCACTAAATCTTTATTGATAGAATTTAAACCTGACACATTATTAAATTATTATGTAAAAATGACTCAAATAGCTAAAACCTATTTTCCTTTCCTGAGTTACTGGTTTGGTTGAATATCTTTCAAGTGGCTACTGGACATGTGTATAGTTTTCTGAGTTGATCATATATTATTTACCCCTTATTCTCTTTTTTTCTTTATTGATTTATAATAGTTACTTATCTGGAGGTTCTTTTTTCTTTTGGAAGTGAAATCAAGGCTTAATTTATCTGGTTAAAGTCTTTAAAAAGTCTAAATAAAATGAAGGATTTAATATCTAGTGGAGGTTTTAATATCTGTAGTTTTATTAATGTCTTCTCTCTCTGTTTCTCTTTCATAGTAATAATCACTTCACAATGAAATGGAACAACATGGAATTAAAAAATGGAAGCTCTTGGAATCAAATATTTGTCACAAAATGAACACTTTCAACTTTAAACATACAATCACTTTTCTCCATACTTAACTCAAAATTAGTAAACAGAATTTTATTCAAACTGTACAAATACCCTTTACATTTAGCCTGAGATTAAGCATGAGAAAATTCAAGCTGAAGTTAGACTTCATTGCCCAAACACTTAAGCATGTGAAAATAAAGCTGAGGATGAATATTCATTTGTCAAACATAATTTAAGCATTCCGATGAACTCTGACAATAATAACCCAAACCAAACTTTAAACTTGCTCTGGTCTACATGATCTTCAAGAGTCTAAAAGTACTATTGTTTAATAATGATTTATAAAAGTCTTCAAATGACAAATTATGAAGGTATGTCCAGATGCAGAATTTTAGTTCAACATTTGTATAGCTGCTGCTTTGACTAGTATTAAAAACACAACTTCCCAATTCTTAATATTTAACATGTACTTGAAAAGATGTAGCAGCATGGTATAGTTTATTTTATTATAAATATTAGTACCTGTAATAAAATATAAAATACAGAGTCTCCCCTTTTCAAATAGTAAGTCTCTGAATGCTTCATTCATCCTTTGGTTTCAAACCCATACAATGCGCTCATGTGACATTGTAGATTTTGCATCGAGACAGAACACTGTACATCTGTTGGGAAGGAGGGGTGCTGTGGGAATACCAAAGCACTACATCATAGAAAGTAAACGCTGAAGCAAAAATACTTTCTGAATATATACTGTACATCATGTAAACAAACATTCATAATAAGAATCAACACAGGCCAAAATATCATTTTCTAGGAAATCAGAATCTCCTTTCTTTTACATCACACACGCTAAAGATGCTTTTTGTTAGGAAGAGAATGGAGCCTGTTCCTATATTTGTTTATGTGCTTAAATATCTTGGAAACAAGTAATTGTTACATTCATTTGCTAGGTTTGTCCTCTTCATTGGCTGGCTGTTGCAAATAAGGAATACAGTACTATTTCAGTACCTGTTTTTCATGTAAATACTAGCTATGTAATATATAATGAACTCATTTTTATCAGTCCATATTAATAATATAAATAGATTCAATGAAGCAGTGAATTTAAAAATTTGTGCAGGGGAAACTAGTTGATAATTTGTTTCCAATAAGGCTAGTAGCAAGATAATTACTACAAAGTTAGTCTGAGCTAGTAGTAAACCCCTGATTTAGCGAGCTGAATCAAAGTCTGAAGTTAGGTCATTTTATTTCCTCTATTACTGTGCAAATCTAGAATTTCCTAGGTAAGAGAGAGTGCTGGCAGCCTCAAAGTCCTGTAATAAGAGAATAAAATACTGCTTAGGTTTCTGAGATGCAGAGATACTACATGAAGAAATCTGAATGTCTTAATGATGGTGTCACAGCAGTGACCTCAGGATTTCCTAAATGAATCAGAAACTATGAAAGACCATTCACTAGTCAATAATCAATCAAAAGCCTACATGTGAAGCAAAAAAAATGATAAAAGATACAAAATCAAAGATGCATTTTCTGCTATGACCATATGTAGCAGTTTCAAGCTGTATGTCAACCTTGTGTACCAGCAGGAGCCTCCTCTAACAGGAAAAAAGCTTAGTCATGACTGTCCCTCTCTTTTCAAAGCTTCCAGTCTTTGAAGGAGCGCATTTCCAAATGCTTCCCGGTATGCAGGGCTGAGCGTATCCAATAAGGAGTAGACTGTTTCGTGGTAGGGAGTCTGTAAATGACCATCCACCTGGTCGAAAGCATACCCTACCACCTACGAGAAAAATGCAACAGTGAATTAAATAATCAGATTTCATCTTGGTACAGAAAGCAAAAAAAACACAAGTTTTTACATGGGTCACTCTCTAATGACATTATGCATTTCTCAATCAATACTTAGAATACACATATTTTAAATATCCGTAAAACCTATAATATTTAAGCAATTTATAACATAAGGAGCATCACCAGCAAAATGCTCTCACCATTTTTTTCTCAAAATTTAAAAGGTTTGATTTACTCACTCTTGATCCTGCAAATACAGAAAAGAGTTGAAAAGGCTACACAAAAACAGTATTTCATTTCATAGTCTAAAACATGTTTCTACTTAATTCTACATATACTTTAGAGGGTCTTTTTATAAAGACACTATACTAATTACATTTACTATAATTAATAATTATAATACTTTTTTATTCTTTTTTATTCTTATTTTAAATAAGAAGCTCTTTTTAAAATTTTTTTTTAAAATAAAGAATTCTAAAATTTACTTATAGTTTTAATTCTGGTTTATAATTAGTTATCTGAAATGACACTTTCATGTTACTAATACATGACTTATGTGCTCAATTCTGTGAGATAAAAGGCAATGTTATTCTGTGTGTGTGTTTTTCTGTTTGTTTTTTCCTTTAAACACAGCTAAAGCTTTTTTCTCCAACAAGATTATAAGACCTATACCCTGGTTCACCAGCATAGTGTAGGGCAAAATCAACGTAGGTTTTGCTGACTTCACTAAAGCTTGTGGATTCCTCATACAAACTCTCAATTTTTATGACATCTACTCAAGCCATAGGAGATGCATGTTTATGCCAGAAACAGAAGCAGTGCTGTTGTTTCCAATGAAAAGCAGAGGCAGACACCTAAGGAAGATGAACTGCACCACTGTGGAACCACGCCCTGTCTCAGTCCAGTCTATGGCCCACTATGATTTTGTTTGTTCCTCTCTTATCCCTGATATCTGTGGTCTTCCTGGGAACAGGGGTCATGTCTTATTTACATGGTTTGATGTCTAATTCCCCACACAGGATAGTTAATAAATGTCAACTGAATCAGACTGAAAAAAATAAATATTTGAGTACCTATGTGCCAGGTTTTATAACTGACCCAGATTTTTGTGCAAACTTTATTCACATAACATCCCCCAAATCCTTTTCAGCTTTTGTTTTAAATCTCCAAGTTACAGATAAAGAAGCAGGGACTAAAGCTGACTGACTCACCCAAGGTCACTCAAATTCACAAAGATTTCTAACTGTCATCAAAACCTTTCCTACCTCACCAGAATTAAACAGTGTTAGAATTAATTTACCTAGGGTTATTTATTTCAACTTTTGCTTTGTCTATTTCTATATAAGGTCCACTTCTAAACACTGCAAGTTTTGGGTACAAATTTAGGGATTTAGGAAGGGAAGCATAAAGACTAGTTAATTCCAGGATTATTCTCAAAGTCAAGATAAAGTTGTGCCAGAAATGAGAGTAGTTACAACTTAGGTTTCAATGTAAGTGAGCCTCCACCAGGGGATACACAGAACATGTGACTCACACACATCTTAGGGAAACTGAATCCAGTGAAATAAAATTCATGTGCTTGTTTAATGTATCACATGACCTTCTTACTTGCTTAAATCATGTACTCTACTACTTCATGATCCTGTGCAACTTTGGCAGAACTACTCTTAACGGATTTAGAAACAGAAAAGTCAGATTTCTGACCAAGCTTGAAGGCAAATTTATTTATTTAAGATGTGCCATGTGACTTGCAGGATCTTAGTTCCTGACCAGAGGTTGAACTTGGCTATGAAATCGCAGAGTCGTAACCAGAGGACTGCGTGGGAATTCCCAAGGTTAATTAGTAAAGTTAAACAGAACCATGGTGCACGAGTGCAGCTGAGAGGAGCTACCCCATGTCCAAGGTCAGGGGCGGCGGCCAAAAGGAGAGACCCCTCGTCCAAGGTAAGGAGCGACGGCTGCATTTTGCTGGAGCAGCCGTGAAGAGATAACCCCACGTCCAAGGTAAGAGAAACCCAAGTAAGACAGTAGGCACTGAGAGAGGGCATCAGAGGCAGACAGACTGAAACCACAATCACAGACAACCAGCCAATCTGATCACAGGACCACAGCCTCGTCTAACTCAGTGAAACTAAGCCATGCCGTGTGGGACCACCCAAGACGGTCGGGTGATGGTGGAGAGGTCTGACAGAATGTGGTCCACTGGAGAAGGGAATGGCAAACCACTTCATATTCTTGCCTCGAGAACCCCATGAACAGTATGAAAAGGCAAAAAGATAGGACACTGAAAGATGAACTCCCCAGGTCAGTAGGTGCCCAATATGCTACTGGAGATCAGTGGAGAAATAACTCCACAAAGAATGAAGGGATGGAGCCAAAGCAAAAACAACACCCAGCTGTGGATGGGACTGGTGATAGAAGCAAGTTTCGATGCTGTAAAGAGCAATATTGCATAGGAACCTGGAATGTTAGGTCCATAAATCAAGGCAAACTGGAACTGTCAAACAGGAGATGGCAAAAGTGAACGTCGACATTCTAGCAATCAGTGAACTAAGATGGACTGGAATGGGTGAATTTAACTCAGATGACCATTATATCTACTACTGTGGGCAGGAATCCCTTAAAAGAAATGGAGTAGCCATCACAGTCAACGAAACAGTCAGAAATGCAGTACTTGATGCAATCTCAAAAATGACAGAATGATTTCTGTTCATTTCCAAAGCAAACCATTCAATATCACGGTAATCCAAGTCTATGCCCTGATCAGTAATGCTGAAGAAGCTGAAGTTGAACGGTTCTATGAAGACCTATAAGACCTTCTAGAACTAACACCCAAAAAAGATGTCCTTTTCATCACAGAGGACTGGAATGCAAAAGTAGGAAGTCAAGAAACACCTCGAGTAACAGGTAAATTTGGCCTTGGAGTACAGAATGAAGCAAGCAAAGGCTAACAGAGTTCTGCCAAGAGAACGCACTGGTCATAGCAAACACCCGCTTCCAACAACACAAGAGAAGACTCTACATATGGACATCACCAGGTGGTCAACACTGAAATCAGATTGTTTATATTCTTTGCAGCTAAAGATGGAGAAGCTCTATACAGTCAGCAAAAACAAGAGCGGGAGTGGACTGTGGCTCAGATCATGAACTCCTTATTGCCAAATTCAGATTTAAATTGAAGAAAAGTGGGGAAAACCACTAGACCATTCAGGTATGACCTAAATCAAATCCCTTATGACTATACAGTGGAAGTGAGAAATAGATTTAAGGGACTAGATCTGATAGACAAGAGTGCCTGATGAACCATGGACAGAGGTTCATGACATTGTACAGGAGACAGCGAGCAAGACCATACCCAAGAAAAAGAGATGCAAAAAAGCAAAATGACTGGCCAAGGAGGCCTTACAAATAGCTGTGAAAAGAAGAGAAGCAAAAAGCAAAGGAGAAAAAGGAAAGATATTCCCATCCGAATGCAGAGTTCCAAAAAAAAGCAAGGAGAGATAAGAAAGCCTTCCTCAGCGATCAATGCAAAGAAATGGAGGAAAATAAGAGAATGGGAAAGACTGGAGATCTCTTCAAGAAAATTAGGGTTAGAAAATTAGAGACACCAAGGGAACATTTCATGTAAAGATCAACTCAATAAAGGACAGACATGGTATGGACCTAACAGAAGCAGAAGATATTAAGAAGAGGTGGCAAGAATACACAGAAGAACTGTACAAGAAAGATNTAAAGGATCTCTTGATGAAAGTGAAAGAGGAAAGTGACAAAGTTGGCCTAAAGCTCAACATTCAGAAAAGTAAGATCATGGCATCCGGTCCCATCACTTCATGCGAAATAGATGAGGAAACAGTGGAAGCAGAGGCTGACTTTATTTTTCTGGGCTCCAAAATCACTGCAGATGGTGATTGCAGCCATGAAATTAAAAGACACTTGCTCCTTGGAAGAAAAGTTATGACCAACCTAGATAGCATATTAAAAAGCAGAGACATTACTTTGCCAATAAAGGTTTGTCTAGTCAAGGCTATGCTTTTTCCAGTAGCCGTGTATGGATGTGAGAGTTGGACTATAAAGAAAGCTGAGCGCAGAAGAACTGATTCTTTTAAACTGTGGTGTTGGAGAAGACTCTTGAGAGTCCCTTGGACTTCAAGGAGATCCAACCAGTCCATCCTAAAGGAGATCAGACCTGGGTGTTCATTGCAGGGCCTGATGTTGAAGCTGAAACTCCAATACTTTGGCCACCTGATGTGAAGAGCTGACTCATTTGAAAAGACCCTGATGCTGGGAAAGATTGAGGGCAGGAGGAGAAGGGGACAACAGAGGATGAGATGGTTGGATGGCATCACTGACACAATGGACATGGGTTTGGGTGGACTCTGGAAGGTGCTGATGGACAGGGAGGCCTGGCGTGCTGTGGTTCATGGGGTCGCAAAGAGTCGGACATGTCTGAGCAACTGAACTGAACTGAACTGAAAATTAAACTGGACATTTCTAATGTCCATTCCTTGTTCCACAGGTTAAAAACAAAAATTTTTTTTTAAACGAAAAGTTGTTCTCAGGTAGTGCTTTCTGTTATTCTAAACTCAGGATTCTGGTTTAAAGGATGCAGAGAGGTCGTTCTGCCTAGAAAAGCTTACATGTAATAAATAGAAACTTATTCTCGGAAATTTGGAGGCAGAGTGTTCTGCTGTGACTTAATTCTGATCTAACAGCTAGTGAATGGTGGAATCAAGCATGGTCTATCTATTTCTGTAACTATGGCTGAGCTGCTTGTGGGATCTTAGTTCCCTGACCAGGGATCAAACCCGAGCCCTCAGCAGTGAAAGGGTGGGGTCCTAACCACTGGAACGCCAGGAAATTCCTTCCAGTATGTTGTTTTAGTAGAAGAGATATTTAGAGGAGGTGGAAAAAGATTCAACACAGTGACTGAAAAATTCATCCAGTGCAGAGAATGCATAATTTTGTTAGACATGCTTAGCAAGAGATAAGAAATCAGTTTATTCGGGGGGACAGTTACAACAAAATAATCAGAATCAAATCTGTTTTTTCTTTTTCAAAAAATCCATTCTTATGTTGACTGAAAGACTTCAGAATTAATAAAAAGATTCCTAGGGGGAAAAAAAAAACTTTCTTAAAAAAAAATATCTTGGAAGGTACTCAGTATCAAGTTCTCACCTAAAACTGTTTTTCAGTCCCTGATTCCTGAGCCTTTTGGATCAAGTAGTAAAGATTTTTTTTTTCCACCTAAAGAGAAAAAGGACTTACCCTGAGCCCTGCTTCGGTGAGCTCCAGGCAGTATCTGTTCCTTTCCCTTGTTTCCACATTGATGTAGGCCACATCGTCTGCACAGCGCAGCGTTTTTGAGACAAACATGGTGTTAACAGCAAAGAGAACATCATTTACAACGGCTTCGGCTTCCAGCCTCATGTCTTTCATATCAGTTCCTTCAAAGCCATTAAGCTCAGCTGCTTCTTCAAATCCTGACACGCCGCTCAGCTCCATGGGATTACAGTCTGTTTCCATTCTGCAGAAAATTGGGTATGAAACGGGCTTATAAAAAGATATTCACACATTAATGTTTGATTAAAAGCAGTTGTGCCTTGCAACTGCCATTTATTAGAAAACATCATAATGAGCCAACAAATTTTAGGGAAAATATTGCCTAAAACCATTTTCAGTAGTTTTTCATAGCAAAATTACAGACACTTATAGGTTAAAAAAAAAAAAAAAACTCTTCTTCATTTCTTCCCAAAAGGTTAACCCCATATTGGTAAGAATTCAGAATATTAATTTTTAGCTATTTTCAAACAATGCCAACGTAAAACTCTTGAGTACCTATTTCTTTATAAATGTGAAGGATGTTTAGAACTGGATTGCTGAGTCAAAGTACATGCTCATTTTAACCTTCTAGATATAGCTCATTCACCTTCAAAAAAGGCTGCACAATAGATACTCCACCAACAGAGTATGAGGGACTTTTTCAGAGCATGAGAGTCTTTTTCACTGCACCCTTTCCGGCTCTTTTTAATATTTGTCAATATGAGAGACAAAGAATGATGTCTCATTGTTTGAATATGCATTTCCTTGATTAAACAACTTTTCGGGTATTTATGAGATTTTTTTTTAATTTATTTTTTATGGGATAGTTTTAGTTCCAAGATCATATAGCTGTGAAAAAAGAAAACAAATCAGAAATGGTAATGAACTAACGTTGCCTTAAGTTAGAGCTTAAGTCTTCACTTACTACAGGACACTCAATAGTTTGTGACTTCTGGATTTGGGGTTTTGCCTAAGAAGCAACCTGCCCCACTCCATGATTACATTTTAAAGCCCTCTAAATCATCTTCTGAACTCTCACTGTCTATTTCTATAGCTAACTCTCTGATCAGTCTGGAATTTATTCTGTATAGCTTTATTTTCCAAGTGGATAGCCTACTGTCCCAACACCACTTATTGAATAACTACCTTTTTTTTTTTTTTTTACTGTTTGCTTGAATTGGCTCATATATTATACTTTCAAAAATATTATTTCCTGTGTTTACTTGACCCAATATTACTGCCAGTCTGCTTCCGCCTCTCTCTCCTGTGACCAGTGGAACAGTTGAGGACTGTTAAAAATTCGAAATATATGAATGAGAAAAGTAAATAAATGTGAGACTGCTCTGCAATGTAAAAACAGCTTTTCAGAATAAGATATAATTTCTTTTTACCAGTAGACTTTATAATAGTAAATTAAGATTTTATTCTTCTTATATGGATTAAGCATCCACTGTCCTAACTGTAGGACGACTCTTCAACTTGCTATGAACATTTATTTGTGCTGTTTGTCTATTACTTTACAGATTCCATCCCTTTCCCTAAAGTTACCAACTTGTGCTCTACTTGTGTGATGTTCAAAATTAGTGGTTCTCAACAGTGGCAGAAACCCCATCTCAGAGAAACTGAATCAAAACCTCTGGGAGATTTTTCTGGGTATTTTTTCAGGGTTTCTGGGTGATTCTACTGTCAGGCCAATGCTCTGAATTATTAGCAAAATTCTTAAGGGACTAGAGTTTCTATAACTGTAGGTCATTTGCATATTGTAAAAGTCAAAACTATTTGCTAAAGACAGTTTATTATAAACTATGTGAAGCTATTTCAAAAAACTACTTAGCAAATGTACAAATAATATAATCCTTCAATCCTATTTAAGTAATGATATGTTGTAACTGGCCCTTTATCTTGTTTCCCACAGCACTTGACAGAATTAGTCACTAACAATACAAGTTAATTATAAATTTATCAATTATTGCTAGAGGAATTTGTCAGATAACTGAAATCTCACAATGATTTACTACATATGAAAGTGAAATATTTGATTTTCTAAAATCTCTCCCTTCTCTAGAAATAATCATTATATTCCTTAATATTTTACTTGGTTTAACGTATAAGAAATGAGCCCATTATTTTTTTTTTACAAAGTCAGGTTTGAAGATTTTGAAATGTGCCTGTCTACTATAAATCTCTTAATACCCTGAATGCCAAACATCTTTATTTTGCTCAAGTAATCAAATATCTCAATTACAGATGTCAGAAATAATAACTTACATGAAAAAGATGTTTACATGAGAAAGCTTGTTTTAAAGAGTCTAATTCATTGCAGCTAGGACCACAAGGACACGGAAAGCTGAAGACTCCAATACTAGAAGGTAAGCAATCCTCACAGGCCAGTAAAGCAGGTCATCAAACTGCTGTGGAGTAATTAGCACGGGGGGGGCGCAAAAAAAGAGACAGACACCCTTCCCAAGACTGTGAACTTTTAGATGTTTCTCTGAAATGCTTCTGAATGATGCATGAAAGAGCAGACATAACCAGAACTTTCGAATATACATATAAATCAATAGATTTTCATACTGAAGCATTATACAAGTTAATAACATTTTAAGCTATTATTTTAGGGTATTATTACAATTATCTTTTGTTGGTTATGACAAACTTTTGATTATTCATCAATATCATTTCCCCTTCCAAACAGTACCCAGATTTTCCAAGGGGAATTATAATACCTCCCCTTCCCCTATTGAGTAGAGTAACCAAGAAATTTGAGCAAGATTGACCCCAATCCCATTTGAGATTGTCCTGAACTTAACACACAGAAAGCTTTCCAGTCACTTTCTTGCAGAAGAGTTACAGCGCCGGCCCCAGCTGCTCCTGGTGCGCACCCCGAGATGAGGGAAATCCGAGGGTGCTGCTGACAGTGGGACGGGAACAGAGGCAAGAAATTCAGAGAAACAAAGCCAGAGCCCTGATGCTGCCCAGTCTTTGCACTTTTCAGTTAGTGCAGCCAACAAATTCCTGTTACTTTATGGCAGCTGAAAGCACACTGCATTAGGAGCCTCCCCCAAATGAAAAGCACTCATAACCCAGCTCTTCAACAGTTTTATAGATGAGGTTTAAAAAAAAACCCCAAAAACAGAACCCTGGGCTTCCCTGGGAGCTCCATGGTAAGGCATCAGCCTGCCAATGCAGGAGACTGGGGTGTGATCCAGATCGGGGGAAGACCCCACACGCCGCGGAGCAACTATGCTTGTGCGCCACGAGTACTCAGCCTGTGCGCTAGAGCCCAGGAGCCACGACTACTGAGCCCACGGGCCTCAACTGCTGCAGCCTGCTGGCCCAGAGCCCCTGCGGCAGAAGCTACCACCACGAGCAACCCACGCTCCGCACCGAGAGAAGCCACTGTCCGCCACGACCAGGGACGCCTGCTCAGCAACAACGACCGGCACCGCCAGTAAATACAACTTAAAAGTATTGTTTAAAAAGGAACCCTGGTATTTTTGTGCCTCTTATGTAGAAGTGCTTAGTGAAAGCTTTGTAGAATATGAGTATCAACATGTGTATTGGTTTCCCATTGCTGCTGAAACAAATTACCACAAACTTAGTGACTTAAAACACAAATTGTCTTAGAATTCTGGAAGTGTGAAATCTAAAATCAAAGTGTTAGCAGGGCTGCAGTCTTTCTGGAGCCTTCGGAGAATCTGTTTCCTTGCCTTTGTAGCTTCTAGAAGCCACCTGCATTTCTTGGCTTATGGTCCCTTCCTCCACTTTCAGAGCACATCACTTCAGTCTCTGGTCTTGTGGTCATATCTCCTGTACTCCCTTTTATAAGGACCTTTGTGATTGATTATATTGGGCCCAGCTGAACAGCCAGCATATTTCCCCATCCGAGGCTTATGGTTAAAAGAACTGGAAAGTTCCTCTTGTCATAGCAAGTAATACAGTCACAGTTTCCAGGGACTAGGACATAGACACCTTTGGAGGGGGGTGGGGGTGGTGGTGTCATTATTCTGCCTATCACTGTCCGTACCTTATCAGCAGGGAAAGGCGTGTACAGGTAGGCAAAGAGTCATTTTCTGACCTTCCTTTTTTAAACAGTCATAAGTTACTTTCAAAAGGAGTACTTGTCCAGTCCACTACCTTCTTTGGGAAGGTTCCTTACTCACAGGTTTCATGCTCCGTATTCTGTTAACTCCGGCACCATAATCACAGAGAAATGTACTGGGGACGCCTGTTTTACTTACAGGCAACATTTCGAGGCTGGGAAGGGGTTTATGAATTGTCCTGAATCAGGAGCTCTGTTCAACTACCTGATCGGGACGGTGACCGGCTCATCCAACCAGATCCTCTCTAGAGGAGTGAACACAGAGCCCAAAATCATGAACTCTGTGTGTGATGACAGGAGCCAGGGAAGCGCAGCAGGGAGCCTTACGGATGGGGCACTAGAGAAGAGGTTTCTGCATTTTGATCATGCATCCCAGTAGCTAAAAGTATTTTGAGCAGGTACCTCCTTATATGTGTATTTATTTACATATACTACCACAATTAGCCTATCAAAACATAGAAATATGAATTTAAAGAGAAGGTAAAAATATGAAATATAAACTCACTTTCTTCTTGTTTCTCAATGGATTATCTTGTGTACCTGACTGTGGAGACCTACACCACTGAGGGTGGGGACATGTATGCCTATGTTGGTGAAGGGACGACGACTAGAATTACTACTGAAACATTAGAGATGCTATTGGATTAGCAGAATGGTGGACTCATCAGTGTGAGTCCTGTAAAAAATCCCAGATTTCTCTTTCTGTAGGCAAAACAACTTATCATCATGTAAGAAATTCTAGTTGAGAATTTCTCTAATTGAACCTGTAGAACTCTGCAATTCTCTACAATTAAAACTGTGCAAAGCACAGAAGAGTTCTTTACCTGTGCTGTCCAACACAGGAGCCACCAGGAATGTGGCTTCTACTCACCTGAAGTCTTGCTAGAGTGACTGAGGAACTGAATTTCAAATTTTATTTAATTTTCATTCATTTACATTTAAAAAGCTAGTGGCTACTGTATCAGCACATGACTAGACCTCTGTGAATACTCCTGGATAATATAATGAATTTGTTGTTGTTGTTGAGTTGCTAAGTCCTGTATGACTCTGTGACCCCATGGACTGCAGCTCCTTTGTCCACTATCTCCCGGAGTTTGCTCAGA